CCAGGAAGGCTACCTTCACTCTGAGCAACCTTTGCAGGATACTGGGCACCTGCTGCTTTGGGTCGCATTCCATGCGTCATTTCAGTGTCAGGCACAGAGAGTAGCGATAGGGTCTCCATGGCAGAAACAAATGTCTACTTGCTTATGCCAAGAGCTTTATCTGCGGCAGACGTGGATAGATAACAGCTTGGCTGTAGGTGAGTCCTGCTGTAGTTCTTCAAGAAGTCCCACTCTCTGCCCCCTCTGGGTCACTGTGTCCTACCGTTGGCATTTGCAGGGCTGGCAGGAAAAAAAATCTTTTCAAAAAGACAAATTCAACTTTGGGAGTGCACACTATGTGGATGTCTGAGGTTTGAAGTCTGGATTGTGGTCATCAAAGCACGCTTGAAGTGGCTTTCCTATGTCTTTGGTCACTCTGTACATTCAACAAGAAGGTATACTGGAGTTTCTGTACATGCAAGCTGACAGGAAAGAGTAGCTGATAGCAGGAGCAATATCTACAAGGTCCAGGCATCTTTTAAGATACATGTTTATTGTGTTCATGTTTTACCTTGTTGGAATGTACACTGACAATGGCTTTTCCCCCTCTCTTTTCAAAATGAGAAATATTGAAATGGCAGGGTGAAGATAAGGCAAACATGCTTCTTGTTAACTTCAGGGCAACACTTATTTTTCCTTCCTAGCTTCACTCCTCAACTGTTAATAAATATAACCCAAGGCTATATATTCATCTACACCATTGTATTTCCAGTAACCGTATATGGGTGTGAAAGTTGGACGGTAAAGAAAGCGGCCAGAAAGAAAAATTGATTTGTTTGAAATGTGGTGCTGGAGGAGAGCTTTGCGGATACCCTGAACTTTTGGAAAGACAAACAAGAGGGTCCTAGATCAAATCAAGCCTGAACTATCTCTGGAGGTAAAAAATGTTGAAACTGAAGCTATCCCACTTTGGGCACATCTCGAAAAGGCAGGATTCCCTGGAAAAGACAATAATTCTGGGAAAGGTGGAAGGTGATAGGAAAAGAGGAAATCACTCATTCATAGGGTCACCATAAGTTGAGTGGCTTGATGGCACATAGCAACAACAATAAGACGTGGAACCTGGACCTCGCCTCTCTTTGGGTGAAATATGGCATTGGGTAGGCTTGCTGGTGGTGATGGGATTTGTAACCTGGCAAACATGGAGAATATTAGGTTGCAGAAATCTGCTGCACACATGCATTTTAAAAAAATCAGTCTGCTGACAATGTGATCTTTAATAAGTATTTTATGCTTCACTTTTTCACCATCTTCCTCTCATCTATTTATACATTGAAAATAGCTCTGATGACTTTGAGGCAGCATGGAAATTGACCCAAAGGCTCTGAGAAGCAAGAGGATGGGAAAATGCTTCGTGACTGACACAGGATGTAGGCAGTTGCTCCCCACTGCCCAAGTTCCTTCATGGAGGATGTAGTAGCCAGCCCCTAACCCCACCTCGGAAAAGTAGCAGCCAGAATTGCTTCTAGCATGGCTATCAGTCAAATCACCCCAAGAGATGTGCAAATTTGTGCTTTTGGACTACAACTCCCAGGAATCATGCTGCTTAGGGAATTCTGGGAATTGTTGTTTCCAGAATTCTAGAAAAACTATAAGACTGCACACCTCTAATATCCACTGTGCAATTTGGGTTCCTGCTCTCAGTAAGGATAACATATTCACTCTGTCTCTGAACTTTGGAATAAAATAGTGAAAGTGCTGGATGTTATGAGAAATATGCTTATGTATAAAGCTTGTACCCCTGACAAACATGATCTTCAAAGAGGCCCCAGATTTTAGGATTCAAGTGAGACATCCACCACTTTCCCCTTCCTGTTACTGTTCACAGACATCATGTTTCACTCTGTGGTTAGTTAAGACAAGTATTAAAACCCTACACTTGTTTCCTTGCAAAGAAGCTGCACTGCATTCAGAGGGGCTTATTCCAGGATCTGTGTCTCTAGGAATGCAGCCATGTTATTTAACCACTTTCTCCAGGGATCATGAAGGGGAAGAGCAAATAGAAACCATCTACCCCCCTCTCTCTCACACACACACCTAAAAGACATTGAAAGGACACCTTGACTTTTACCTGTTGAGAAGGGCAGGTGAGTGAAGACAAGAGGGTTGGCATGGCTTTATGGTAAGTGGCCAAACTTGAGCTGAGGAATCCTGAACACTGTGCCACAGTCACAGCACTTGTCTGAAGCCTAGAAACAAAACAGTCATGGCTCTTGTGACCCACGGGCTAGATTTTCAGGTCATATTAATGGGTCACAGATTCCACAGCTATAGAGAGAGGTAGCCCTTCTGGTGTGGTAGTTTCATACCTCTCATCCCCGACATAGTAGTTTCATACCTCTCATCCCCGACATAGTAGTTTCATACCTCTCACATGCACTCCACTCACATTGAGGTGGGAAGGACACCAGTTTACTCAGCACAGTGCACTGCTGCATAGACAGTCATGTGGTTAATCAAGACCTCTTTGGAATTAAATGTTTCCATGTCATTTTAAACTCTGAGGTTCCAGCACTATCAGTTCCTGGGGACATGGGAAGATGAGACACAGCTTGCTTTTTCTCCCAGTTTCCCATTTGACAGTGTGACTGTGTCTTCCTCTTGACTTCTTTGAACATGGAGGAACACTACACAGAATTTTTTTTTGTCAACCCACCTTGCCTCATCTTGGAAAATTCTGCTGCAGGCAGGGGAGCCGGGCAGAGCTATTTTGCCCAAGGCGTAATAGGATTGTTGCAGCCACGAAGTTACGCTTTTTTTGCTTTCAAAGAAAAACTTATAATAACAGAACGTATTCATGCTGAAAAACGATTTGCTCGGATTTCAAGCAACTCTTCAGTTGGCTTGCCAGATTTCCAGGCCCCGCAATAAGTCTTGATGGTTTGCTAGGCTTCTCTGGGTCTCCAAGGAGAGAGACACATCTCAAGGCAAATGATGGTGGATGCGGAGAAAAAAAATGATCTTACCGTATTCTGGTTTTAATGTACAAATGGGAGACTGAGTCTCAAGATGCATAAAAATGGGAGCAATGCAAATTTTATTCTTATCTAAAAAGCTCAGGCTCGACACATTTAAATAAGAATAAAATTTGCAGTGCTACCATTTTGCCACCAGTGGATGTACCAGTTCCCTCTGCTTTGTTTAATTTATGGGTGCCTTGTATATATTCTGCAGTCCTAGCTTGTATGAAAGCTCAGTGGCTCAGCAGGAAACTCTGTCTGTGTGAGTGTGTGTTTGTGTGTGTGTGCATGTGTACATACTGCACACATAATATTTAGGAAGGGGAGTTTTAAAAAATCTACATTATCTCATTCCCTTCCTGCATGTGCGCACACACACAAACTTGGGTGCTGTGAGAAAATTGCTCACATGCCAACCAAAATTAGTGAAGTGATCACTCCTTTAAGCTTCCTGTGAGTCCAATGAACCATCCTACAGAAGATGCTGCCTGTTGTCTCTCTGCGAGAGTCCTTGATCTGGCTGTGCCGTCTCCCAAGCACTTTCTGTAGACAATGAGCAATTCAGCCTTCAATTCTACATTTGCAGGGAGATCACTCTCAATGGCGTGCAGAATAATTTATATGCAGAGGAGAATGTCTGTCGTTTCTCTGTGGGAGTGCAATTTCTTTAAGCTTACCTCCTTCATTGGAAGTTTCCTTATCCCAGGTCAGATTTTTTTGTTCATTCATTTTCTATTTTGATCGGTGGGAGAATTTGCAGAATCTGAAGTAGAGAGCAGTCCAATCAGTTAATGCTTAGAACAGTGACTCATTCAGAAACACACCGAGTGACTCCTTTGGGACACAAAAGATTTTTTTTCCCCTGTGAAGAAGGCTATGCAGCAGACAAGTGGCTTCTCCCACCAATTTCTTCTTAGCGTCATTCCCCTTCTGTACCTGTTGGGTGGCTCACCTGACGCACGAATGGTTTGTCTCTCAAGCATTATATGATTTACTTTGCCAACAAACAAACAGAGAGATTCTTCTCTCTTTTATACCTCGGTGGTTTAGGTCTCTGGCTGCAGAGCCAGAGGTAGGGAATTCAATTTCTCACTGTGTCTCCATGACAAGGGCTGGACTTGATGATCCATAGAGTTTGCCATTCTAAGATTAATATTAATTCCACCATCATTGTACTTGTCCTGTTTCCCTCTCTCTTTCTCCATTTCTCCATGTAGAACTACCTATCTATTGCAGAACAACAGCACTGCTCACTTTATTTGATGGTTAAAAGGGGCCAGCAGGCAAACAGGGAAACTTAAAACATAGAGCTACAGATGGGGGTCAATCAACTGCGTTGATTTCACTAATGTGAAGTTTCACACGGGTTCATCCACAAAACTGTTCCATCTCACTGCTGCAGTGATCTTTTGACACAGACATAAGCATGCACTATGTATGCCCACCCACGTACACATGAAAAATGTGCATTTAAATACCTGACCTGGTGTCCTGTTCAATATTGACAAGCGTGTGGCACTCCATCAGCGAAAGCTGTCATGGCAATCTGATGATGCAGGGGCCACTTGAATGAGGTTCACCATTGGCACCTTGTTAGAAGACCACAGCAGGTGCCCCAGTTGGAATTACACATGCGTAAATATTGTGCCCAGCACTGGCCTTATTTTGAAAGGTACTTTAAATCTCCAAATTGCCACTTCTAAACCTTCTTCTCTCAAAACATGCAATTTTAAATGTATTTTGATAAGGTTTTTAGGGGGCACAGGGGAAGAGAAGATCTCTTCTAGAGTATTGTCTTCCCAAACCTGTTTTGCAGCAGGCTGTCAGAATTTGTGGCAACTTTTCGTTTTGTGGCAACTTTCATTGCATTGAGGTTTGTGCCCATGTTGGTGTGTCTTTTCCCTCATGGACAAACTTTGTCGTCAATTTTTTTTTAAAAAACTCCTTTCCCCTTTGTGCGTGTTTTTCAAAGACACACATTTTAATTTACGTGCATTTATTTGTGCATAATTGCAAAAGGGGGAGAAAAGAATCTTCCGTTCGCGGTTTTTCTTCAATAATGGGAAATCAAAAAGATATGTACACATTTTGCTAATAGGCTCATAAATCATGGGCCCAATACATTCAATTAAAAAAAAATCGAGTTAGTTCAGAAAAGAAAAGAAAACTTCCCCAACACAGAATTAGTTCAAGACGTATCAGCAGGATTGAATTTTTGAGGCATCCCTAGGTGGCGCCAGTCTAGTTAACAAGTAGCTTCCTTGCATGAGGTAGCCATAGAAATTCCACTTGTGCTGCTTTGGAACATTTCAAGAAAATTCAGAATCTAATTGTTCCAATTAAACCATAATCGTAGAGTCAATAGAATTTACACAAGAGCAGGGCTTGGATTCATTAGGTCTGCTCTAGTTGGGACCCGCCAGGGAGCTTATGTCAAAGGCGGCAAGCCTGAACAAACCTGAACCTTTTCTTCTACCAGTGGCACTCAGTGAGTTAAGAAGGACCCAAACGTCCAACCTCAACTAGATCATCTTTATTCCGCCACCAGCCAAGAGGTAAAATAAAAGCAATACAAAAATAATAATAATATTAATACTAATGAAAATATCAGCCTCCTCCCCCCCACCCCTGGCCCAAAGAAGTCCCAAACCAGAGCCATGCTTCATCAACCACGAGAAAGAGAGAGAGAGAAAGAGAGAGAGAGAGAGAGGCAGAGAGGAAAAGAGTGAGAAAGAGAGAAACAGACGAAATCTCATTTTTATTATGTAGAAATAACAGCATCATGGAGTCTTCCCTGGCCACCCAGTTTGTAGGCCACAGTGTGCATCCCTCCCACCCTACCAGGTTAAGAGAGAAAAAATGAATAAAATGAGAACGGAGAGAGTTCAGGAGTGACCCCGCGCGGTCTTACAACTCCCCTGACGTCTTTATGACATGAAAGAGAGTCACGTTGTAGATGACCTGGTGGCCGTTGTTCCAGGTGTAGAGGACCCTCTCTCGGGGGTTATAGTCCAACATGGATATGTGGGAATACTGATTGTGGAAGGGAATATCTGTGTACTCATAGGTGGAAGTGTTTGTGTAGTAGGCAAAATAGATCTTGGCTCCTGCCAGGTGTGAATTGGTCACGTAGAGGGTCCCGCAGATGATGAAGGACTCCCCTGCGCTCCGCTTGGGGTAGCCGGTGTCCCAGCTTCGGAGGATCTCCAGCGTCATGGGATCCATCCTGCTGATCACAATGTTGCCGGCGTTCTGGTTGGTGGTGTAGACTGCCCAGAGTCCGTTCTCGTCAACCATAAAGTCGATGTCTGAAAAGCCGCCCCAGGAGTACGGGAAGGTGTTGTTGTAGCCGGCAGTGTTGAGGCTGCGCTGCACGACAATGCTCCGCGAGCGGAAGTGGTACTTCACCACAATGTTGCTCTGGTACTTGTTGTAATACAGGGATCCGTTGAAGACCACATGGCCGGTGCCAGCCCAAGGATGAGGCAGAAGGTGCTGGACAAAGTTTTGTCCTGTGATGAAGTCGTTCAGGGTACGATACTCCAGGACACGGCGGCCTTTGTAGTAGCCATCCATGTACCAAACCTGGGGAAGAACACACAGGAAATTAGGATAGACTCTATTGTTTGAATACATCAATATGCCACCTGTCTTCCAGTGAATTCAGTTCTGCCTAGCTTTCTTCCTCTCTGGGAGTCGAAGGACTGGCATGAGGCCACACAATGAGTTTCATGGCTCAGGCAGGACTAAAACCAGGATTTCTTCAGTTCTGGTCCACCACTGTGATGACAATACCACACAGGACCTGCAAAGGCTACTCTGCATCACCTCAGCCCAGGTATTGACCAGTGCAGCCTCAAGAAAACCACTATTTTTTGGTTGGAAATGGGACCTTCCCCACATTAAATCAGACAGACAGAGCATACAAAGACTACAACCTTATTGGGCGATTGGGGGTTCGTTCTCCAAGAGACATCCATCCTCATCCTCAGCACCCACAGAAACCGTAATACCCCTTACCTCTCCAATGTCACACAACACTAATATGGCAGAAAGGTACACCAACCATAAAATTGAGGACAAGGAGGGAATGATATCCCACATCAAAGAGGGCAGCTTTAAACTGCTCAAGGTACTTGGTCAGTCTTGCCTGGCGTTTTCCAACTTGATACTCTCCAGATGTTTTCCGTTTTGTGTCTTCCCTTATTCTTCACACACTATATGTATAACAACTAATATGCCATAACTCCGGGTTCCCCAAATTCTCGGCATCCTGGTTCAAGGTGGTGGCTGCTCACTCAGTTGTTAACTTAACAGGAGTCTTTCATGAACAAGATTTCACAGACAAATGCTCTGCATGCGATGTCACAAACAAAACATAAATTAGAAAAAGAGAAACCAAAACCAACCTCAGTTAAGCGTCAACCCATGTAGTTCATTGCTACAAGTTCTCATTGTGTTGTTGGAGGTAAGCAAAAGCTTTCTAATATAACTGAGCAAAACAGAGGGAAAGATAATGGGAGGATTCAATTGATACTCATGTGAAGTTTGCATCACTTGCTGTGGCTAATTGTGTGCCTAACTGCACAATCAAGGTGAACCTGTCACTGCATCCATTAGCAACAATTAGCCAGAGCAAGTAATGCCAAACTTACACAAACATCAATCAGATTCTGGCAAATATGCAGTGATTTCAGCCCTCTATTGAGGTTAATCTACATGTAAATGTAGACATCACATCTTGCATAAGGATCTTCTGTAGCAAGCTGTGAGTTGTGAAGAAACCCTCCCTTCAGCAGGGCTCTGGAGGCCTGACATGGGAAGTGCGGGAAGAGAACAAAAGTTATTCCACTGAAATTGCCAGCTTCCTTGAAAAACCTGAAACTTGGGAATCTCTGGTGCCAGCATATGCATTTCTGCTTCTTTTCTACTGTGAGATGACAACAACAACAACAGCAATAACAAGCTGATGTATGCATTCACGAAGCACCTGGGATGGTTCTGCTTTTTCAATTCCTAGAAACAAAGGTCCAGCAGCAAATAGTGCAATGTGGTCTTTGCATATATAGGAGACACATAACACAGAAATTTAAATGGGGAGGCTGTATGAAAGAAAGAGATGCACCAGGTAGAGAGAAATGACATAGGATGAGGCCTCTATGCAGCTCAGAGCTTGCTCCAGTGACCAGGGTAAAAAATGACAAATAAATGGCCAGGAGAATAAGGGACATTCCTGGCCTTTTTAGCAAAGGCATTGGGTAGGTGGGGCTGCCATATATTGATCAGAACGGCACCCTCTCATTTAGACGGTAGTTGGACAGGAGCAATGATTGAGGAATGGGAACGTTTGTATGGCTAGGAAACCGGGAGACTTCAAGATCTTTCAAGGAAAGGGCCTTTCAGTTCCTAAACTGTGGTTTATATGGGGCGAATCGAGAAGCCCAAAGCAAACCTTGCTCTCATGCCCTCTTGTTCAGATAGAGTTGCTGTAAAACTCAGCTGGCCAGCCTTCAACTGGATTTCAGACAGGCTCCCTGGTGCTGGTTTAGCCCATCAGTAGGGCCTGGATTCTAAGCTTTCATTTATACAGTATATAAATGTGAAATCTCTTTGTAGGCCTGTCTCCTATATAGGGCACAGAATGGAATGAGGCCATTGGAGTGAATATTGGCTGAGGGATTGTGGAAGCTATAATAAAAAAGCAATTTTTCACAATCTCCAATAATTATGCATCGTATTACATTTCCTTCTTTGGCAGGGAGTTCAACTTGATGAGCCTTGAGATCCTTCCAGCTCCACCAATTTTATGAGCTTATGAGTCTATGGCTTCCCAAAATATGAAACTGTATTTTATCTTTCTCTGACTTCTGAGAGCTTAGCTTAGCTAGGTCTTACCCCGAGGAAAGGAAGAGTTGGTATAATCAAAGGGGGGGGTAGCAACTAGATTAGAAACTTTTTGTACATGAATTTTTGGACCTGGACAGAAGACTGAGCAGAAGCACAGATTGCTTGGCTAGAGTTTTTCCTACTTAAGTGAAATGTACTTCTGTTTTAACTGGCCAGAATCCTGTTGTGTAGCTCTATTTGCCCAAGAGGAGTGACTCTGCTGGCTATACTGTATGGCGTGCTGCCACTAATTAAAGAGTTCCTTTCTTGATGTTAAGTTGTACCCAATTTGTGGGCCATGATGCGAAGTCATGTGCATCCCAAAATTAAAAAAAGAGAACTTCTCCATTAGCAGCAGTCTCCCATGCCATGTGACTTTCTTCTCACTGCACAGGCAGAGCTCCACAACAGGATATTGGCCAACGTCTCTTTAAAATTAAACAATCTTTCTAAACTTGCATCAATACATATAACATAGCACCTGATAATTTTGCATAAAACAATTACACAAATAGACAAAATTGGGACACAATAAATCCAGCAGATTAAATAAATGGCACATCAAAAATTTAATGATCCTATTAACACACTGCAGGCCTAATTTTAGGCACAACTGCCTTTTCTTTTGTCTTCTTTTTTTGGAAATGCCTAAGTAGCCATCCTTATCACTGTGGCTGTGCAGTCCTTGTCCTGCTTCGACTACCAACCCATCACTTTGCCTCCATCTTCCCAGGCCTTGCTCCAACAGGCCTCTTTGTCCTAATCATCACACCTGTTGGCTCTCTGATGAATTCCCTGGAAAGGGTTCCAGCCAACATGGAGAGCCTGATTACACACAATGGTGTGGACAACTCTGGCAGGTTTGCGATGGGAAAACATCCATCTCTGTAATGATGTAGCTTGTGGGCAGCTAAGAAAATGACTTGCTCAATGTCAGGTTAACAGAGGGGCTGGGGTCACACAGTGGAGAGTTTAGGTCCCTTAGGGTAGAACCATGGGTGCATCCATAAATTGGGAAGTGTAGGCACAATCCCTACAGGCAGCTCCTGCCTGCTCAGAAGAGTCCAACAAATGAGGAGGAGTTCTTTTGTAAATCATTGCCCATTTAAGACCAAACAGCTCTGACATACTTTGCATTACAACAGGGGTTGCTTGCAACAGTATACTGTTCCTACAAAAATCCATTTCTTCCCCAGCTGTAGTGAGGTTGGAAACAAAACTCAGAGGAAAAGAGATGCCCGGGGGAATGGAGGATGATATCATTAGTCCTTGCTAATCAGGATGTACTGGTACTGACCCTGAAAGCCCTGGATATCCCATAGGGCATACTCCTAATACAGATTGGGGATTTGCAGTGAAAAGGTAGCAAAAGAGAAAGGTCAGATACCAGGGATGTTGACAAATCTTTGCGTCTGAGTCCCAAATTCGAGTCTTTGGTACCAAGTCCCGAACCCAAAGCCCCATCCAAGTCCACATCAAAACCAAGCCTTTTTCCCCAGAAAAAAAAGGGAAAAGTGGGTGGGTACTGTGTGGGGAGCTCTGAGGCTTGTGAACCAGATCATTTGAGGTACTCAGAAACGTGACCTTGAAAAATGGGTTCAGATTGTGAGTCAAATCTGAGTCATTGGGGGGGATGAATCCTCAAGACAAGTCACTGATGTGACTTAAGTCCAGTTCTAGAACAATTCCTACGACTCAGGTCCCCATCCTGTCAGATGCTCTTGCTTTTCCTGTTGAGGCTTCCCTCCAGTTTCTCCATATCACTTTCCCCTCTCTTCTCCTGTCAGCTGCTCCTAGCTAGAGTCACAAGGGAGAATAATAACTGCGTTAAGCGTTCCCATCCAGACCACTGGCCATTCCGTGAAATCCTCTCTGCCTTCCACATAACTCCTGGGCAAATGTGTGTGAGAGCCATGAAGTAACAGGCCCATCCTTCCACCTTTTGGTCGGGTCGTCCCCACATTGCGTAAGCCAGGTCATTAACATGCTCATCAGCTGCTCTCCCCAGCTCTGACCCAGACGCCAAATCCATGAGCTCTACTGTTCACCTCAAACATTGGCAAAAAGAGACAGCAAACCCTGGGTGTATCAACTTTGCCGGAGGCTCTTCTGCTCGCTGCCTGACATGGGGGCTCCACAGAGTAGCCCTCCCGGAGGTCCCCGGCTGCTTTCTTCCCCTTTCATTCTTCTTTAAACAATTAAGCCCTGTTTGATGGAGCAGCTGACATCTCTCTGTGTCAGATTAGCTCCATTCTGTGCCTACGCAGAAGCCTCTTTCTGTCTCAAAAGCTCCAGGCTACCTTTTGAAGTTTCAAATATAATTCACTCACAGAATAAAAAAGAGAGAGAGAAAGAGAGAAATTGGGGAACTGGGAGGAGAGGAGAGGGACGTCTACGTAACATGTGAAATAAGGCTGCATTGAATCCTAAAGCCTCGGAGAAAGGAGATAGACGGAGGAGAACCCCAAAAGTGTACCCAGAGTGGTCGACCAGACCGGATGGGCGGGATATAAATCAAATAAATAAATAAATAAATACCTGACAATAAAAGACAATAAAAGAACACCCATACACAATAGAGGGGGTGTGCAAACTATGACCCATGACATGTGATTCCCAGCACATTATCACAGCACCGGGGGGGGGGAGGAGAGAGAGGGAGAAAGAGTAGGCAATGTATTCGCGAAGGTTTTCACGAA